TCTATTCATACGAATCTTTCCTAAAAATGTTGTCGGCATTAAATAACCCATTGAGGTTGATATGCCGTAAAACAAAATAAACCAAACGAAACGATACATATTCTGTTCATACGAACTGATACTAAAAATGTTGTCGGCATTAAATAACCCATTGAGGTTGATATGCCGTAAAACAAAATAAACCAAACCATTATATACAAGAATCCAGTTTCCAGTTCACCCGGCGTTCGTGAGAACAATAAACAAATCCTAAGGCTAAACGCTTCAAAAAGTAGAAATTTGGCTCCAGAAAGATATATTTACGCGTGAACAGTTGTATATTGCATGCACAAGGATAAGAAGAACTGAGCATTTATACTTTGCTGTTAAAGACTTAAAAGAGTAAAAAATAAATTTTCTGAAAAATATTGCTTAACATGAAGGCCTATAAAAGTAAACTAAATTAAAGAAAAATTTAAACCGCCGTTTTTGTCAAAGTATTTTCCCAAACAAATCAGCTAATTCAAATTTCATCGATTGGTTTGTGAAATTGAACGTAAAGTTTGTAAACGTCGACAAAAAATGCTAGAGATAATGTGAGGATTCTAATATATAAAAGCTTCCCATTAGCTATGATTGAAAATATTTCATGCTAACATATTAATGGATAAACTTGCTATTAGTGCGATAAAAAAGTACATATTAAAAGATAATTCATAACAGAAACAATTCATAAAAAAAGATACCCGCCCTCTTTTTTGTTAAGAAATGTGAATTTATTATATCCGTTTCTATTGAAATAATAACATTTACTGCTCCTGCGAAAACATTACAATCTTGTTAGTAAGTTGGGGCGACCAGGTTGTTGATACATTGCTTCATATTCTTTTCCTCTCGTGTTAACTTTCTTTGCACATTGTTACTCAGAAAGTTGTAAAAAGCTGAAGCCTTTAGTACTTAGTAAAAAAAGAGTTAATTGCTTCGAGAAAATACTAGATTACTCATACAGATAATATATATACATACATACACACACACACACACACACACACACACACACATATATATATATATATATATATATATATATATATATATATATATATATATAATTTTTTAAATTTGTAGGTTCGAGGAATTGGATCGTGATTACGATTCCAATGTAATAAATTATAACCATAGAATATTAGTGTTTGAGCCTTTTATATTATATTCTATTATTGCTCTACTTGGATTCTATCCTCTTGGAAATATATATATATATATATATATATATATATATATATATATATATATATATATATATATATATATATATATATATACCACTAGTACTATAAAGATATATATATATATATATCCATATATATATATATATATATATATGTATCTTCATATTATTAGTTGTCAGTATATATATATATATATATACATATTTATATATGTGTGTCTGTGTGTGTGTGTGTGTAAAATTTCAGATAGGGTATATATGTAAAAGGGCAATAGGTATAAAGACGAAATGAAAGCTTATCTTAGCCGTGGCGTTTCCTCCTCTAAAGAACTTTATCAATGCAAATTTAAATGTATGTTGTTGAAAATTTGCTTTGTTTATGTTGAAAGAGCGCTCACCGTCGAGGATATACTTTGAGTAGTGATAAACAGTTTAGTCATAGAACGATACACAGCACTGTAACAGTCAGTTGCACTCCTTAAACAATCGCCAAGCTCCTTATCTATCTATCTATCTATCTATCTATCTATCTATCTATCTATCTATCTATCTATCTATCTATCTATATTGTGCGTGTGTATACACATTAGGAATCAACGTTGCAATGTTCTGAAAATGGTATTGAAGCGTGAAACTGACAGCCGCGATGCAGTGTTGATTCCTATATCTACATTCCCTATATCTATAAACACTCTATCTCCGATATTGGATACTCATCGTCTATAATTAAATCTATCTATCTATCTATCTATCTATCTATCTATCTATCTATCTATCTATCTATCTATCTATCTATCTAACCCAGTCTGTTCATATCTATCTATCTATCTATCTATCTATCTATCTATCTATCTATCTATCTATCTATATATATATATATATATATATATATATATATATATATATATGAACAAGCTGAAAATCACAGTCGTGCTACCAATGAGGGATAATATGGATATTTATTAATATATACTTTTATAGTTCTGTTATATTACACTTTTTTATTAACTACCGATATATATATATATATATATATATATATATATATATATATATATATATATATATATATATATATATATATATATATATATATATAAATGGTGGAAATCGCTTGGAAAAATAATGGTGGTACTCGCTAAAAAAATGTCACACGTATGAAGCAGGTGATAAGTTTTGTTCCCTATGCACGGAGGAAAAGTTATCTATTGCTAGTTATAAAGAACCTAAAAATTTATTAAATCTAAAATCGGAAATTTTTAGTAGTTGTATACTACGTAACCCCTACCCCCCCTTGTCGAGTGTTTGCTGGTTTTACTTGTTTTTTGTTTTGTTTTGTTTTGTTTTTGTGTCACGTGGTCATGGTTGTTTTTGGTTTAAGCTATATATTCTGTTCCATTTTTTAAGTTTTGGGCTAGCATCACCCTGACGCTCCGTTTAAGTGAAAACTAGGTAGGTTTGCCTGGCTCCTTAGGTTTATCTTATATATATATATATATATATATATATATATATATATATATATATATATATATATATATATATATATATATATATATATATACTTACATACACGCATAACAGATACATGTATACACAAAACGTATACTCACGCACAACACGCATATTCCCCCATATATATCTATATCTATCTATCTATCTATCTATCTATCTATCTATATATATATATATATATATATATATATATATATATATATATAATTACCTATATGGTCTATGCTGGGAAGAAAGAATATAAAAAAAAGTAGTACAAACTTGTTCTTTCTGCATAACCTTCTCGAATAGGACATAATTTAATTAATTATTAAAAAGATAAATTAAATCTAGACTAAAATGCTGACAGTATAATTATTAAAAAAAAACATTAAAATTATGCAAAGAGCAAACCTTTTAAAAGGAAATTTATAAAAATAATTAAGGACAACTTATGCTTTTTGTCTATTTGTTTTATTCTTTTTACTTTTAAAAGTTTATTTTTGGTTCATGTCATTCGAGTGAATCGACCGTCAGAAAACTGTTGATGTATAACATTTGCTTTCGAAAATCTGCGGACAACACAACAAAAAATACAATAAAAAAAATAAATGATACGTTACGGAAAGACAGAAGTGTATTAGCAGTAGCAGTAGCAGCAGAAGCATTTTGGAAGTAATCGAGCACATTGTGTTATGAGCAGCAGTTGTAGCATCCGTTACGACAGCAGGGGTAAATGTAGTTTGAGCCCGAGAGTTGGTTTATCATAACATGACTTGTAAGCATCGCTGGGGCTGCCTCTGTATGTAACTATATAACAACTTTCTTTTTCGTTATATAAGGAGAAAAATAGACCTGGAAATTCCTGAAAGCTCTGAGATATCACGAACGATTGTTTTCTTTTTAATGTTCATCTCTTAACCGTTGCCATCTACTACGAAAACTCTCCGTTGCGAAAACCGGAAAGAAAAAGATAGACAACAGCAAACCAACATACGAACAAACAAAAGGGGGATAGATCACTATTTATTTTTTTTGGTATATATATATATATATATATATATATATATATATATATATATATATATATATATATATATATATATATATGTACTTTGATACACCTCCTCGTCACGGAAACTTTGACAGAACTTGCTGACTCTACCACGTGCTGTTGTGAAAGTACAGGCGTCGAGGAAAGAAAAAAGACAAACAGACCCAGGAAAGTTGCTCCTCATTCCGTCCATAATTAACCGAAAGAAAAAGAAAAAGAAAAAAAAAGAAAATCTTGGATTTGAACCTAAACATTCTGACTTCAAAACTCTTTCTGTCTCTGTCACTCTCTCTCTCTCTCTCTTTCTGTCACTCTCTCTCTCTCTCACTCACTCGCTACAACTTTGTTTTCAAAAATTTACACCGTTCATTTCATTCTTTCGTCCCTTTCTCAATTTTATATATAAAACTTAAACTTGTCCTTTGACCCTTCCTTTTTCTTAAATTGAACCCTGTACAATATCAAGAAGCGCCACCCCTTAATATCAATATTTTCTCGATTTATATTTCTTTTCGAGAACAAAGCACACCTGTCTTCATTATTACTCATAGCATTTCACCTGTAATATACTACCCATCTTTGATTTTGAAATAGACAACACCAAATATTTGCATCATTGAAAGGGAATAAACAGAATTTCCCACTTAAATAATTTGATATTTATTCTCTCTCCAAATCTATCGTTATTGGACATTGCATTCCTAATCAGTCGGCAAATACATATACTATGTCGAAAGTGCACACATACACAGATACGCACACAGGTAAACAAATTATTAACGGCAGTGAAAATGTAAATACAACGTGTCTTGGAGTGTAAACCTATTCCTTGCAAGCTTCTTTCATTCTGATAACGGTAGAAACTAACTGAAGAACGAACCTCAGCAACACAGGAGCGTTTTTCCCCGTTGTGAACAGGATTCGTTCGCTTTGGAATCTTGTTTGTTCTCTCGATCTCTCATTTTCATTGTCCGCAGAACAACCTACTTTCACTTTCACTTTCATTTTCGCCGACAGACTCGTAATTTCTTTCTTTTTATTTAACTGGCTGTATAAACAAAAATATATCTATCTATCTATCTATCTATCTATCTATCTATCTATCTATCTATCTATCTATCTTGTACTTCGCTGTTGCATAACTAGGAAAGTCTGCTCGAAAATTCTGGTTCACGGACGTTGTGATCGTGGTTGTGATGGTGGCCGTGAACGCTGGAGTGGTGCTTTTGAAAGGTGATAGGGCTACGTCCTCGCTAGTTTGTCTATAATGTTGAACAGAAATAGGTAAACAAAACGCTGCGGCAGGTTTGGGAAAAAGAGGGCATTAAGAGAAGAAATGGTTTGAGGGCGAGAGAGAGAGAGCGAGATTGAGCGAGAGGGAAAAGAGTAAAGAAAGAAAGAAAGAAAGAAAGAAAGAAAGAAAGAAAGAAAACTCTGAGTCAGTGAAAACTCGATGGGGAGGAAGTAGATGGATTTATGAAAACCAAGAGATGAAATTAAAGGAATTAAAATAGAAATACCGTCTTTGAACAAAATCATTAACTTTAAGAGTGAGAATTAATAAAGAAAAAAAATGGCAAAAAAGAAAATGCAAACAAACAAGTAACAAGCAAGGCAGTGGCTACCAGGAACAGGAGGACCATTGGGAGGAGAAGGAGACGAAGAAACCTCAACAAGGAAGATAGAGTCACAAGTTGGAAGGGAGGCTATCGAAAAAGACGAAAAACCAGCAAAAGCAGTAGTTGCAGTAGCGACTGTAAACGTGGCAGAACAAGCAGTGGTGGTCGCTGTAGCGACGGCAAGAGAAAGAGGGGAAATAAATTTGGGAAGCAGGGCGCAGAGAAATTCGAAAGAGTGGGAGAAGCGGCACAAGAGGCTCCAGGAAGAGGAAGAGGTGGAGGTGGACGAAGAAGAAGAGGAGGAGGAGGCGCTGACAGTAGCAGCAGCAAAGAGAACCAAGGAAAAGAAGGTGAGAGTGATAAAGTAAAAGAGAGGAGGTGGCTGAGAGAGAGAGAGAGAGAGAGTGAAATCATCTAATGACAAATACACACACGCAGACAGACAGAAAAATATATAGATTAATAATCAACCCCAACACACGCACACATACACACACACACAGGCCGAGACGATACATACATTCATCTGTTTGTACCTACATACAAATTTACACACACACATATAGATAGGATTAGCGTATTTAGTAAACTTTCGCATATACCTACTTATATACAAATATTGACACACTCACAAACGCACACATGCACACACGCAAATATATGGATATATAGATACATATATATATATTGAGATAATACATAAACATAGTATTGATAAATAACCTATATATAAATCAGAAGACATCGACAAAAAAACAAACACATATTTTTATTTAGTAATTGCAGAAAAAATATTAACACTATCTTAAAAACACGCATACACTTACGCGTGTTGATGTCTATGTGTGTATATATATACATATATATAGATATATATATAGATATATAAAAGCTTGAAAGAGAACTCTCTCTCTCTCTTTTCCTTGGTGGCAGACACACACGCACACATATAGACGGAAAGAGTAGTATCCTCTCCACCGGCCTCTCCCTTAACCCACTACCGTCACACAGAGAAGGGTGGACGACGCCGGAGAAAGGCAGCGTGATCCGTGCACGTCGGCGTGTGTGTGTGCGTGCGTCTGGGGCCCAAATACGGTACAAGGTGCCGCTGATCACAATGATGTGTTGGTCGAAAAACAGTCAGTTTCATATCTACATCTTGACAATCCTCGTACTGGCTTCCATCGTCGGATTACAACCAACCATGTCGGCATCTTGGAATATTCAAATTGGTAAGTCATTTCGCTATTACTTCCCTTTCTTTGCTGACTCTGTTGCCTCGATTTCGAATTTTTAACCTGTCGACAAACGCAACACGTCCATTTCTAAAATATGCTTCGGTATTATCATTCAGCTGGTGTTCGTTCTTTTCTCTCCGTTACTCCGATATTCGTCATAAACATTGTCTTTGATTCCTTAAAAGTAACCAAATTATCGTTTCTTTTACCCCTTACACTGCACCTCATTTATCGAGTCCTGCCACTACCTCTTCGGTTATATCACCATTCTTTTCCTCTGTTATTGTGACCCTCCCGCATTATATCATTACCTCTTTCACCCTCAGTCTTTCTCTTGTTGACTACTCTTCCTCCCACTCTTTATTCTTCTCTATTTCAAACACTCACACTAATCCTCCCGTAGTTGAATATAACACTGTACCTTTAGACATCTGGTTTTTGTTTTGCGCATGCGTATAAGCAGGAAAGTTGCGTGCATTTGTGATTGCAAACGCCAGAAAAATAACACGATGTCCAACATTATAAATATGTATGTGTAGATGTACGCAGTTATGTTCCACGTATACACTGTTAATATTTGGCAAAATAAATATATTGTAATGTATAAATTGTCTAGCGCGTCAGGTTATATGACGATTCCGTGTAGAAGACAAGTTCGATTCCTGTCGGAGAGTACATATTTTCTATGAAATTTCTTGGATATTCAGTCCGATAAATGTTATTAATACGGTTTATTATAAACACAGCATTTAATTAAATATTTGTATCTATAAAAAGAACGTATAAACAATAAATATATTAAAATAATAGTCGGACTTAGTCCATTTCATAATATATTGTAACCTATGTATGAAATAAAATGATGTTGAATTTTTGGTATAGATTTTATTGTGTATCCGAAATTTAATTTATTACATTCGTATCTATTTGAAAAAACAAAAAGTGGTGCTTATAATTCTAGATCGTGTTGCGTCTGTATGAATGCTAACTTTTTTTTTATTAAACAATAATTTGTCAAATTAATCAACGTTTATTTAAACCGTATTTGCAAAGGGTAAACACGTTTTAAAATTTATAGGTGCTATTCAGTGTATAATAAACACGCCGTTTGTTTATTCGAAAATGAATGCGCAAGCACACATACACACTATATATATATATATATATATATATATATATATATATATATATATATTAGTGTGTATATATATGTTAAAGTGACAAGTTGCAAGTTCTTGGTTCGATCAAGAAGGGAATCCCCATAAAATTCCCACGTTTAGTCATTCAGTAACATTTAGTGAACTAGTCTGTAAGTGAATATTTTCAGCTTTGCCTCGTATACAACGGAAATAGGATCAATGATGAACGTTGAATACAAAACAAGTTAACCGTAAAGTTGACAGAAAAGCAACGCCTCGACAAGACAATTTTAAATTAGATAATTCGTCCATTTTTGTTTTACACGCAACATAATATATTGCTTGAAGGACGAATGATTATACTTACTTATAAACTAGTATCTCTCTCTCTCTGTCTGTCTGTCTGACTGTCTCTGTCTCTCTCTCTTATATATATATATATATATATATATATATATATATATATATATATATATATATATATACGTTTATGTTTATATTTTATTTTTTTATTATAAGGGTTATAGTAAAAACATGTTGAAATCACTACACAAAAAATTTCATGTTTCAATTCTTTGATTGTACTTCTTCAGGCGATGGTAAGTAACTAGTGATTAAATGATTTTAAGAAAATTTAAAAACAAAGTGTTACTTCTTTTCCGAAAATTAAAGACTCGGGTGTGGGGGCATAAAGTCAGAATTAAAAATAGACTTGTGGGTATGTCTTGATTAAATGTCAGATTTGCGCTAAATAGAAAATGATGTTTATGTCCCCCCACCCCGCCTGCACCACCTTTAACTTTCGGAAAAGAGATAGCATATTGTTTTTAAAAACTCATTTAATCACCAGTTACTTACCATCGCCTGAAGAAGTACAATCAAAATATTGAAACATGAAAGCATTTGTGCGTCGATTTCAACATGTTTTTATTATAATCTATCTATCTATATATATATATATATATATATTTGTGTGTGTGAGTAACTTTAATAATATAGACAGGAAGACAATAATAAACAAATAGGTATATATATGTATAAATATATATGTTGTACAATCTCACGTTTATAAAGGTTTCGTTTTCTTTCTGGCTATCTGTTTATCTCCATATCTAAGTCTTTACCTATATACATTTAAATATTTGAAATGATGAAATAAATGTTACTTCGGCGTTTGGTAGCATTTAAGACAAATAACTTCTCTCCTTTTTACGCAGGTCAACTTCGCTTTATGTAAGTACGATGTGTTTGCCTGCATTTTACATTCTCAAAACCGCGAAGGGTAAACAAAGTAATAAAAATGTATAAATATATATATATATATATATATATATATATATATATATATATATATATATATATATAATAATTTCAAAAGTAAGAAGCTGTAAAAAAATAACATCAGAAAATAAAAATATATCGCCAAGTTTTTAAATTTTAATATATATATATATATATATATATATATATATATATATATATATATGTATGTATGTATGTATGTGTTAATTATTAAAACAAAAGGGTACCAATATAATCAGTACGATAAATATTAATTATTAACCATATGACAGGAATAAAACACGGAGAGAAAGGTCTGAATTAGGAATTTTCGGACACGACTGTGCCCTTCATCAAAGGACCGAAGAAGAAATTGAAAAATGGTAATTTCTCACCGAAATATTTTTTTGTATATTATTTTCCAGAGGAATTCGTATTATTCATAGAAGCATAAATGATCCTAAGTACATATATGATTATCATTTCGTTCCTTTAAAAAAATATATATATATATATATATATATATATATATATATATATATATATATATATATATATAAATATATATATTGGTATATTTTAAGTATTTCACCCCAAACAAGGCAATAAAGTCACTAAGATGCAAGGGGTTACTGAGTGTGAAAGTATATGAGAAAATATTTCAATAAAGGAAAGGGGACAATAGAACACGAATTAAGAATTGCCATTATTTTTTTGAAAAGTTGGCTGGAAATCGAGAAAATGGAAGCGAGGACAGCGATGAGAGTATTGCAAGAGAAGAAATTATTAACATAGAACTTACGGTTGTATGTAAACATTTCAGTTTGAAACTGATGAAAATTTGCTGGCACCTTAGTACTGCATTAAAATTCATAGCCTAGCCACCCCCACACACACAAACACACACACACACACAAACACACACACACGCACACAGACACACACACACACACACACACACACATATATATATATATATATATATATATATATATATATATATATATATCTTGTAATGTAATGGAAACCTGGGTAGTGCTGGATCTTGCCTCATCTTATATTTTATTACCAGCTTTACGAGTTCAGTTTTTCTGAATTGTGTATTGAGCACTTTAGAAAAAATATTCAAGCATTGGACTGACTTTAGTCTTGCCTATATATATATATATATATATATATATATATATATATATATAACTCTAAAATTATACAATATGTGTACCCATGCATATAATATATAAATAATTATACATATTTATATTTATTTATATTTATATACACTTTTCACACACACACACACACACACATATATATATATATATTTATATATATATATATATATATAGCTGTGCTAACACGAAGTCACAAGTCATCGTAACCGAGGGTTTGAGTGTGCTAGCCTTGTTCAGATTGTTGATCACGCTAGATAACACACTCTCCCAGAAATTTTAACTAAGGTCTGCTCAGCATAGTTACAGTATAAACCACAAATGTGCCTGATCGACCATCTGTAATATGGATTGGCTAGCTGCCCTAATAGACGTGTATCCTCGAATACGAGTGACCCGCTAATACATACATACATATATATATATATATATATATATATATATATATATATATATATATATATTTAATTTTAATGTACAATTTGTACGTTTGCATTTAAAAGCATAATGAAAAATACGGTGATGGATAGCACACAGCTTTGTATAAATACTTATACTCTTGAACAATATATAGTTTTGTACTTCTTCTGCCCTGAAGATGATCATGGGAGAAGATCGAAAGTATTTTGGGCAATGAAAATGAAAGAAATTTAAACAGCTATAGCATATTTCTCTCATTCTTTAATATCCATACATGGAAGGTTATTTGTGAGTATGAAGGATTTTTGTGAAAAAATTAGCAGACATTATTTTTTTTAATTTATTCAATCATATATATATATATATATATATATATATATATATATATATATATATATATATATGGGGATAAAAGAGAGAATTAAATGGATTTATTTTTTATCTGACAGTTTTATTATTTCATATTACATTGAAAACTCTTATTTGAAATCGACGCTCTATTTTTAATTATTTATTATTTATGCATTTATACCAGAATATACCAGCGTCCGTTGCATTCACATCTTTTCTCCACCGAGCTATGGGTTGAATAGCGAGTTAGACTGGGTGCTTTAGCTTTGGTTGGTAACCAGTCTACCGCAGAAAGAAATGACATCTGATCGCGGTAAAATGTGCTACCGAGTCAGTCATGTATGAATCATGTATCAAAAGAGACATGGTCGCCCAAGCGTGTATCACATATGACACTTAAATGATTGACTGAACAGCAGTAATATTCGAAGTAATAAAAATAGCGGATTAAATAGAAATCCTTTAGAATTTGCTTTGTTTATATTTCGGATATAGAGCAGATATGGAATTTAGAGAAGACTATCTGAATAAGGGAAGGTGCTTTAAATCAAAGAAGAAAACAGCATTGCTGAAGTGTGAAACTCACTGTAGCCGAGTCGAGAAGCACGCTGGATCAAACGGTATTTCCTGTTACAAAGGAGTACAGTGTGTGTTTCTTGTGTAATTGCGGGTTCAGAGTAGCATTCTGAATGCCGAAATTGTGGTTAGTCTTGAAGGAGAAAACAATTCACAACGACAAAAATACTTAGAGTGTGCCTTGATCGTAAGGTCATCCACAGAAAATTTTGACTCTTAAAACATTTCACCATTACTGGCAGAATTTCTGTTATCACAGTTGCGGGTATCTAAGAACAAAAGTGATGGAAAGAAATAGAAAAAAAGAATCTAAACGAAATCGACTAGATTATAGAAAAAAAAAATCACAACATTCCGCGTTTGTACGCATGCGTAATCGAACCAAGATAAATTTAGTCCGATGAAAACTTTTTCCACTTTGTCATGCATATCCCCCAATATCGTTCTTGATATATAAATATAGATATCGTTATGATATATATATATATATATATATATATATATATTGAGATAGAGAGTGAGAGAGAAAGAGAAGATGGTGCGATAGATAAATTGTTGTCTAAATGACGACAAATTGAAAATAAAACGAAAACCACAGTGTATGAACTTGCTATCAAGGCACGGGCTAGACATCAGAGTGATTTCTTTTCTCCTAGCAAATTTAGTCGGATAAAGTCCTGAAGGACGAAACGCATCACAAGAAAACTTTTTTGACTTTGTTATACATTTCCACCAATATTGTTCTTGATATATAAAAATATATATCGTTATCTCATTCATATATATATATATATATATATATATATATATATATTATCGGACCTGAATGGTCGATGACAGCGTGTGGCACCTTTGGAAAGTGCCTGAAAACCATTTCACAGTTTGACCCAAGCCTTGTGAGTGAAATTGGGTGGACGGAATCCTTGGGGGCAGTCGATAGATGAGCTAGCACGAAGTCACAAGTCATCGTGACCGAGGGCTTGAGTGTACTGGCCTTGTTCAAATTGTTGATCACGCTACATATCACGTTCTTTCCGAGAAACTGTAACTTAGGACTGCTCAGCAAAGTTGCAGTTTAAACCACAGGTGGGTTCTGTGGATGTTGAATGAACACAAATGAGCCTGAGCAAGCGTCTGCAATAGGGACTGGCTAACCACCCTAGTAGACGGGTATCCTCGAATACGAGTTGCCAGCTACCCGTACGACGATAGCCTAGGGATAAAATCTCTGACTGATACCAAATCAGTTGGGTTTCGATCCCGGCTTGAAGCAATCGGACGTCTAGCCACACTGAAGAGCTGTAATACAGCAAAACAGTCTGTCTGTGGATGGCAATATATATCAATAATAAGTCAAGAAAAAAATCTTAAAGTTTCATTTCGGTTGTAATTTATTCCATGAATATTTATATATATTCATGTTTTCGGACCTGAAGTTCTTTGTGTGTATATATATATATATATATATATATATATATATATATATATATATATATATATATATATTCAAGTAATGTCCTCAAAATTGCTTTTTTTTTATCCATTGGGCTGTTCGTTCATGCCCCTCCATGGATTCTTTTTTCAGTATTATTTACGAATGGTATGTCTTCTGAAGTAATGTAGCTAAGTTGTTTCCCATTGTTTTGTCTTCAGACATATCTGTCTCTCATCCTGGCTATCACCCAAGATACGACACCCCACCATAGCCGGCAAGTTAACCTGTACGTGCGATGAGAAGAATACATTCTTGCCTTTGCCAATATTGTTAGTGTAAAGTAACTCGACTAGACCGGAAGTTGAAACCGATTCGTCGATTCCATTTTTCGCGCCAATAATATTCCACAGATTTCATTACTCGAATTAATCATTTCTGTTTCACTTGGTTACACAAGCTCAAAACAAGCTGAACTTAGCCTGAGGAATGCTGATTCTCTCTGCAATAGAAACGGTTTTCCAAATTTGTTTGCATCGTGTAACTCAATTGCAACACACTCATTCTTCTTAATCTGATTGACTTTTAGAATTTTCAGCATTCGAAATCATAGCTTTTTACATAGACTCGAATATTAATCGCTGGCTGTATTTCAATTAAGATGTTGATATGAATTAAAAAGAGATTAAAAAGAGATTAGTTTATTAAATAAGAAAGATTAAATTCACGACTGTATATATTGTGATCGAGCGTTGTTTCATTGTTTTAATATTTTATAACTTACTTATGTAGCGACATATGCAGATATATCTGTGGATAGAAACTAAGATCAAGTAATTGTAAATATACAGACACTGATGGTGAAAGGGAACAATTGTATATATATATATATATATATATATATATATATATATATATATCTCTGTGTGTGTGTATGTGTGTGTTTAGGGGTGTTTAGACAGAGATGGTAAAACTGATAAATATTTAGATAACTATGAACAGATTAAAATATACATACATACATACACACACAGATATATATATCTCAGGCTGAGATAGATAGATAGAAAGCGCTATAATTAAAAGTCTGAGATTGATAGAATATATAGATATGAACAGACAGTGATAGAAAGATATTAACAGGCTGAAATAGATAGATAGATAGATAGATAGATAGTGTTATAATGAATAGTTTGCGATAGATAGAATAGAACGATATAAAAAGACTGTGATAGAGAGATATGAACAGGCTGAGATAGATAGATAGATAGATAGATAGATAGCTCTCTCTAACACATCGACGCCAGTCGATATCATAAAATCAATGTGAACTCCATGAACATTTCGTTGGCTGCATATCGACTTCCTCGACAGGAGTTCTGAATTCAGTTGTTTTCCTCGACTGGTTGCCAACCCCGTCAAGAAATATCAGTCTGTTGTAATATGCAACTCATAGCTGGATGAGGTGGTATAGAAAATGGTATTTGTAGCAACGTGTACGTAACGGACTCGATCGGAACTCGAACTCGACTCTGCGATGTCTCGTTCCGAGCTGCTAACTACCTGCATAGTCGACAGGTGAATAGACAGATATGTAAATACATACAAAAGAAGTAAATCAATATGTAGACATCTAAGGGATATGTAAAATGGCAAGGACCAAAAAATTAAAAAAAAAAATTGCGGAAATTGAACTTGCTGTGCCCAATGTTTTGGTTTGGTTTGGTTTGGATTGTTTTACGGCATATCAACCTCAATGGGTTATTTAATGCAGACAACATTTTTAGGGTAGATTCGTATGAATAGAATATGTATTCTTTGGTTTAGATTGGTTTGGTTTATTTTGTTTTATGGTATATCAACCTCAATGGGTTATTTAATGCAGACAACATTTTTAGGATAGATTTGTATGAATAGAATATGTATTCTTTGGTTTAGATTTGTTTGGTTTATTTTGATTTACGGCATATCAACCTCAATGTGTTATTTAATGACGACAACATTTTTAGGATAGATTCGTATGAATAGAATATGTATTCTTTGGTTTAGATTTGTTTGGTTTATTTTGATTTACGGCATATCAACCTCAATGGGTTTTTTAATGACGACAACATTTTTAGGATAGATTCGTATGAATAGATTATGTATTCTTTAGTTTAGATTGGTTTGGTTTATTTTGTTTTACGGCATATCAACCTCAATGTGTTATTTAATGCCGACAGCATTTTTAGGATAGATTCGTATGAATAGAATATGTATTCTTTGGTTTAGATTGGTTTGGTTTATTTTGATTTACGGCATATCAACCTCAATGGGTTATTTAATGACGACAACATTTTTAGGATAGATTCGTATGAATAGAATATGTATTCTTTGGTTTAGATTGGTTTGGTTTATTTTGATTTACGGCATATCAACCTCAATGGGTTATTTAATGCCGACAGCATTTTTAGGATAGATTCGTATGAATAGAATATGTATTCTTTGGTTTAGATTGGTTTGGTTTATTTTGTTTTACGGCATATCAACCTCAATGGATTATTTAATGCTGACAACATTTTTAGGATAGATTCGTATGAATAGAATATGTATTCTTTGGTTTAGATTGGTTTGATTTATTTTGTTTTACGGCATATCAAACTCAATGTGTTATTTAATGCCGACAACATTTTTAGGATAGATTCGTATGAATAGAATATGTATTCTTTGGTTTAGATTGGTTTGGTTTATTTTGTTTTACGGCATATCAACCTCAATGTGTTATTTAATGCCGACAACATTTTTAGGATAGATTCGTATGAATAGAATATGTATTCTTTGGTTTAGATTGGTTTGGTCTATTTTGTTTTACGGCATATCTCCCTCAATGGGTTATTTAATGCTGACAACATTTTTAGGATAGATTCGTATGAATAGAATATGTATTCTTTGGTTTAGATTGGTTTGGTTTATTTTGATTTACGGCATATCAACCTCAATGGGTTATTTAATGCCGACAACATTTTTAGGATAGATTCGTATGAATAGAATATGTATTCTTTGGTTTAGATTGGTTTGGTTTATTTTGTTTTACGGCATATCAACCTCAATGGGTTATTTAATGCTGACAACATTTTTAGGATAGATTCGTATGAATAGAATATGTATTCTTTGGTTTAGATTGGTTTGATTTATTTTGTTTTACGGCATATCAACCTCAATGGGTTATTTAATGCTGACAACATTTTTAGGATAGATTCGTATGAATAGAATATGCATTCTTTGGTTTTGATTGGTTTGATTTATTTTGTTTTACGGCATATCAACCTCAATGTGTTATTTAATGCCGACAACATTTTTAGGATAGATTCGTATGAATAGAATATGTATTCTTTGGTTTAGATTGGTTGGGTTTATTTTGTTTTACGGCATATCTCCCTCAATGGGTTATTTAATGCTGACAACATTTTTAGGGTAGATTCGTATGAATAGAATATGTATTCTTTGGTTTAGATTTGTTTGGTTTATTTTGTTTTATGGCATATCAACCTCAATGGGTTATTTAATGCAGACAACATTTTTAGGATAGATTCGTATGAATAGAATATGTATTCTTTGGTTTAGATTGGTTTGGTTTATTTTGATTTACGGCATATCAACCTCAATGTGTTATTTAATGCCGACAACATTTTTAGGATAGATTCGTATGAATAGAATATGTATTCTTTGGTTTAGATTGGTTTGGTTTATTTTGATTTACGGCATATCAACCTCAATGGGTTATTTAATGCCGACAGCATTTTTAGGATAGATTCGTATGAATAGAATATGTATTCTTTGGTTTAGATTGGTTTGGTTTATTTTGTTTTACGGCATATCAACCTCAATGGGTTATTTAATGCTGACAACATTTTTAGGATAGATTCGTATGAATAGAATATGTATTCTTTGGTTTAGATTGGTTTGATTTATTTTGTTTTACGGCATATCAAACTCAATGGGTTATTTAATGCCGACAACATTTTTAGGATAGATTCGTATGAATAGAATATGTATTCTTTGGTTTAGATTGGTTTGGTTTATTTTTACGGCTATATCTCCCTCAATGGGTTATTTAATGCTGACAACATTTTTAGGGTAGATTCATGAATAGAATATGTATTCTTTGGTTTAGATTTGTTTGGTTTATTTTGTTTTATGGCATATCAACCTCAATGGGTTATTTAATGCTGACAACATTTTTAGGATAGATTCGTATGAATAGAATATGTATTCTTTGGTTTAGATTTGTTTGATTTATTTTGTTTTACGGCATATCAACCTCAATGGGTTATTTAATGCAGACAACATTTTTAGGATAGATTTGTATGAATAGAATATGTATTCTTTGGTTTAGATTTGTTTGGTTTATTTTGATTTACGGCATATCAACCTCAATGGGTTATTCAAGACAACATTTTTAGGATAGGAATAGAATATTATTCTTTGGTTTAATTTGTTTGGTTTATTTTGATTTACGGCATATCAACCTCAATGGGTTATTTAATGACGACAACATTTTAGGATAGATTCGTATGAATAGAATATGTATTCTTTACGGCATATCAACCTCAATGGGTTATTTTTACAACATTTTTAGGATAGATTCGTATGAATAGATTATGTATTGATTTATTTTATTTTTACGGCATATCAACCTCAATGGGTTATTTCACAACTCGTATGAATAGAATATGTATTCTTTGGTTTAGATTGGTTTGGTTTATTTTGTTTTACGGCATATCAACCTCAATGGGCCGACAACATTTTTAGGATAGATTCGTATGAATGAATAGAATATTTTGTATTCAACCTCAATGGGTTATTTAATGCCGACAGCATTTTTAGGATAGATTCGTATGAATAGAATATGTATTCTTTGGTTTGATTTGTTTGATTTATTTTTTTTACGGCATATCAAACTCAATGGGTTATTTAATGCCGACAACATTTTTTAGGATAGATTCGTATGAATAGAATATGTATTCTTCGGTTTAGATTGGTTTGATTTATTTTGTTTTGCATATTAACCTCAATGTGTTATTTAATGACGACAACATTTTTAGGATAGATTCGTATGAATAGAATATGTATCTTTTGGTTTAGATTGGTTTGATTTATTTTGTTTTCCGCATATCAAACTCAATGTGTTATTTGCCGACAACATTTTTAGGATAGATTCGTATGAATAGAATATGTATTCTTTGGTTTAGATTGGTTTGGTTTATTTTGTTTTACGGCATATCAACCTTGGGTTATTTAATGCCGACAGCATTTTTTTAGGATAGATTATGAATAGAATATGTATTCTTTGGTTTAGATTGGTTTGGTTTATTTTGTTTTACGGCATATCAACCTCAATGGGTTATTTAATGCTGACAACATTTTTAGGATAGATTCGTATGAATAGAATATGTATTCTTTGGTTTAGATTGGTTGGGTTTATTTTGTTTTACGGCATATCTCCCTCAATGGGTTATTTAATGCTGACAACATTTTTAGGGTAGATTCGTATGAATAGAATATGTATTCTTTGGTTTAGATTGGTTTGGTTTATTTTGTTTTACGGCATATCAACCTCAATGGGTTATTTAACGCCGAAAACATTTTTAGGATAGATTCGTATGAATAGAATATGTATTCTTTGGTTTAGATTGGTTTGGTTTATTTTGTTTTACGGCATATCAACCTCAATGGGTTATTTAACGCCGAAAACATTTTTAGGATAGATTCGTATGAATAGAATATGTATTCTTTGGTTCAGATTGGTTTGGTTTATTTTGTTTTACGGCTTATCAACCTCAATGGGTTATTTAATGCCGACAAAAATGTCATTGTTGGTAATATTTTTTTCCCAAAAATCTATTTCTGTTAATATTTTTTCTTACAAAAACCTATCTCTGGTAAGTTTTTTCCTTCACTGGTAATATTGAAAAAAAATACACTGCTGGTAACAATTTTTTTTTTATAAAGCACCTCTGGTATTAAACCCTATTTTTACACTTTCACAGCGTTTCGCTCCGATTATTGGTGCCAACCAGTTGCCCATAACTGGGACCCCACCAGGTGCCGCCACCCTGGGCCAGGGCGAACCCGGGAACATCAGCAATCAAGAGGCGGCTCCACACTCCTCAAACCCTCCTGATCAGAAGCCTTGCCTTTTGGACGTAGTTTATCGTCTTACTCAGAACGCGGATGTTGTTTATCGTCATACCCAGGAAGGTGCCCGATGTGAACACTTATGTATTATTAGGATTAATTCACCAAAAGTCGTTCCACATGTTAGCAGCATAGTTGTGGAAATTAGATATATTTTTTTTTAAAACACCATTGCACTCCTCACAAGGTGATGGAGTCGCTAAGACACAAGGTGGGGGGGTGAAAGAATTTGAGAAAATATTCAGCGGGGTGAGGTTATTAAAAGACCAGGATTAAAGTTAAGAAAAAATGAAGATTAGGCTTGGCCCTCCTCTGTCGAGGTGTTCGGGGTTTGTATGCACCGGCCTTGACAGATGCATTGGTATAGACATATAATCGAAAATATAAATTGATTCGTGGAACGGATAGTCACTGTTCAGTTTTGATTTTTTTTGTCGATATTGGGAAAACATTCCCTATGGATATGGAAGATTTTAAACGATGAACATAATACAAATTAAATTTAAAATTGGTTATTTTTAATTTTCAATTTTATCATAAAATTTAATCAGTTAAAATGATTTTTATTTTAGTCTAGCCGTAACATTAAGGCATTAATAATTATCACTAAGTTGTGTTGTCAAGTTTTTTGAATTCTCATATACTTGTATTTTGATTGGTCATTGCAGCTTATGTAACAGCGTCTCCCCCCCATCGAAGGGTGTTTGGTTGATCTGAGACTTTTAAAACTCTTTATTCTACATTAAACACCATCACTTGATTAGACACCAGAAGTGTTGAAACAAAATGTCTATTTTTGTAGTGATTTTATAACATATTTATATTATAATTTTCGAGTAA